CGACCACTGGATGAAGATTGGAGACCCACTTTGGAGTTGTAGGTCCCTTAAGCGAAGGTTACTGCTGGTGGTTCCCAGTGGGTGCCATTCTGGTTCTATGTGTTATGCATTTATGTGGTTTTAGTTGGGCTTATGAGTGGGATTTTACATAAGACCTTAACCTATATGTACCTGGTGTGCAAGCTATCATGGTTTAGATCAGCTAAAGTTACCAGTACCTCTGTCACATATCTGTCAAGTAGCTCGAAAAAGAGAGAACCCATTATTAAAATATGACTGTAGTGGAGCTCTGAAGCTCACCAAGCTAACCTAGCCTTTAGCATACTACACCCCATACTCCCAGAGTACCCCCCACAGGGTTCCCTGAGGGACGCGGTCGAACGCCTTTTCCAAGTCCACAAAGCGGTTGGGCAAACTCCCACGCACCCTCCAGGACCCTGCTGAGAGTGTAGAGCTGGTCCAGTGCTCCACGGCCAGGACGAAAACCGCACTGCTCCTCCTGAATCCGAGGTTCGACTATCCGACGGACCCTCCTCTCCAGAACCCCCGAGTAGACCTTACCAGGGACGCTTAAGAGCGTGATTCCCCTGTAGTTGGAACACACTCTACGGTCCCCCTTTTTGAATAGGGGGCCACCACCCCGGTCTGCCAATCCAGGGGAACTTCCCCCGATGTCAACGTAATATTGCAGAGTCGCGTAAACCAACACAATCCTACAACATCCAGAGCCTTAAGGAACTCCGAGCGAATCTCATCCATCCCTGGGGCCCTGCCACCGAAGAGCTTTTTAACCACCTCAGCGACCTCAGCACCGGAGATTGGAGGGCCCGACTCAGAGTACCCAGGTGCCAGTGGGATTGAGGAGGTCTTCAAAGTATTCTGCCCACCGACCCACAACATCCCAAGTTGAGGTCAGTAGCACACCACCCCCACTATAAACAGTGTTGGTGGTGTACCGCTTTCCCCCCCGAGACGCCGGATCGTGGACCAGAATCGCCTCAAAGCCGTGCGGAAGTCATTCTCCATGGCCTTTCCGAACTCCTCCCATGCCCGAGTTTTTGCCTCGGCGACCACCCGAGCCGCATGTCGCTTGGACTGCCGGTACCCATTAGCTGCTTCCGGGGTCCCACAGGCCAAAAAGGCACCGATAGGACTCCTTCTTCAGCCTGACAGCATCCCTCACCGACAGTGTCCACCATCGGGTTTGAGGGTTGCCACCGCGACAGGCACCGACAACCTTGCGGCCGCAGCTCCGGTAAGCCGCCTCGACAATAGAGGCACGAAACATGGTCCACTTGGACTTAATGTCCCCCACCTCCCTCGGAACATGTTCAAAGTTCTCTCGGAGGTGGGAGTTAAAACTCAGTCTCACAGGAGACTCTGCCAGACGTTCCTAGCAAACCCTCACAATACGTTTGGGTCTGCCAGGTCTGACAGGCATCCTCCCCCACCATTGGAGCCAACTCACCACCAGGTAGTGATCAGTGGACAGCTCCGCTCCTCTCTTCACCCGAGTGTCCAAGACATGTGGCCGCAGATCAGATGAGACGATGACAAAGTCGATCATCGAACTGCGGCCTAGGGTGTCCTGGTGCCAAGAGCACATATGGACACCCTTATGCCTGAACAAGGTGTTCGTTATTGACAATCCATGATGAGCACAGAAGTTCAACAACAGAACACCACTCTGGTTCAGATCAGGGGGGCCGTTCCTCCCAACCACACCCCTCCAGGTCTCACTGTCATTGCCCACATGAGCATTGAAATCTCCCAGCAGAACAAGGGAGTCCCCAGGAGGTGCACTTTCCAATACCCCCTCCAAGGACTCCAGAAAGGGTGGATAATCCAAATCAGAACCCGTCCCCCCACATTTAGGCAGAGGGAGGCCACCCTCTCATTCACTGGGGTGGACCCCAACACACAGGCACCAAGTTGGGGGGCAACAAGTATGCCCACTCCTGCTCGGTGCCTCTCACCAGGGGCAACTCCAGAGTGGAAGAGTATCCAGCCCCTCTCAAGGAAACTGGTTCCAGAGCCAGAGCCATGCGTAGAGGTGAGTCCGACTATTTCTAGCCGGAACCTCTCAGCCTCACACACCAGCTCAGGCTCCTTCCCCACCAGTGAGGTGACATTCCATGTCCCAATAGCCAGCTTCTGTAGCCGAGGATCAGACCGCCAGGGTCCCCGCCCTCGGCCACCACCCATCCCACATTACACCCGACCCCTTTGGCCCCTCCCACAGGTGGTGAGCCCATGGGAAGGGGGACCTACGTCTCTTCTTCGGGCTGTGCCCGGCCAAGCTCCATGGGTAAAAGCCCGGCCACCAGACACTCGCCCGCGTGCTCCACCTCCATGCCTGGCTCCAGAGTGGGGCCCTGGTGACCCACGTCCGGGCAAGGGAACATTAGGTCCGTTTATTTTTCTCATCATCGGGGTTTTTGGGTTGCACTTTGTCTGGTCCCTCACCTAGGACCTGTCTGTACCAGTGAGAGAGTTTAATGATGACCAGTTAACCAGTGAATACAGGGTGCAGTGATGGGTACAGTTGTTACAGTCAGTTATGAATATTAATGCACCATGATAGACAGCGTCCAACATCTGCAGAGTGCTTGTAGGAGCGTTCATGAAAATAATGTCACTGTAGTCAATAGAGGGAAGGAAAGTCACAGTTACAAGGTGTTTCCTAGCATTCAGAGTTAGACAGGATCTATTTCTGAAAAAGAAACCCAGTTTAGCTTTCAGTTTCTTGACCAGGTTTTCAACGTAGGGCTTAAAGAGAGATGTGAATCGACCAAGATATTTGTAGGAATCAACAAACTCAATAGGATCACCATTTGAAGATAAAATCGAGGGAAGGACTGCTAGGACAGACTTCCTGTTAGAAAACAACATCCCTTTGATTTTGTCTGCATTTAGTACAAATTTGAGATGGAACAAATCTGACTGAATGATGTTAAAAGCAGATTGCAAAAGCTGGAAAACCTTAGCAACTGTTTTAGCTTGACAATAAACAACTGTATCATCAGCATAAAAATGTAAGGATGCATCAGGGCTGATCTGACCTACATTACTTACTGTATGTGGATTGTGAAGAAGGTGGGACCTAAGACAGAACCTTGTGGTACACAAATGTTAACTGTTAGATAACTGGAAGAAGTACCATTAAGTTTACCACATTGCCTCCGATCTGAGAGATAATTAGTGAATCAACTAATGATGTGTTCTGAGAAACAGATACGATTCATAAGAATTCCAAAAGAGAACTTCTTGGGCATTTATTTTCATAAAATTATCTTAGCACAATGTTAATTTCTTTGAAAAAAGTTATTTATCTTAATATAGAGCTTGTTTCCTTGAGATAACAGATTAGTGTGTTTATTATTTTTCACCCCAAAGTTCATTTTCTTGTGATAATTAAAAGTGGTTTCTGAATCAATACAGCTAATGAGCACCTGCTGGATACGCCATATAAAAAGATACAAAAGGAATTGGCTATAAGTAAGTTTACACAGAAATTGTTGGTATACAGTAGTCTTTTTGAAGCCATGCAGCAATGTGACATGACATGGACAACAACCAAGTCAAACCAGTTGTCAGAGATCAGGAGAAAGCAAGCTGAAAATGTGACATCAAAAAACACAAACATGGCTATACCATCACAAGAGTTGTAACAGTGATACTAAATTTGGTCATGTGCAAGGACTCCTAAACAGTATCTTGTTGTCATGAAAAAAAAAACATGTTTTACCATGAAATAGTGATAAAATCAGTTTGGTCATCCCAAGATAAAGAAACAGTTCATTTGTGATCTTAAATGGACTGTACTTATATAGCACCTGACTATCTGATCAAGGCTCTCAAAGTTCTTTACAACACAATCTGTGCCTCATTTACCCATTCATACAGCACTCTACTAGAACTTTACAAATAATAATCAGAGCTTTATCACATTCATACACTGATGAGACACACATCGGAGGCAGTGAGGGGTTCAGTGTCTTGCCCAGGAACCCTTCAGCATGTGACTGCTGGTGGAATCGAACCCCCAACTATCACATTGGAGGACAACTGCTCTAACTACTCAGCCACAGCCACCCCATGTTCTTAAGAACATCACATTAAAGTTAAATTTGAAAGGAGAAGTGGGTAAAGAAAATAAATAGCAAAGAGGGGGGTTGGAAATAACCTCTGCCTGTCTGTCTGTCCACCCAATCTGCAAGCTGGATAACTTGAAAAATAAATGAGGTACTGACTTTCATTTTCGTTCGTGGCTGCATCTAGGTACAAGAAAAGTGCCTGTCAAAAATTGGGTTGCCATGTCAAAATCTAACATGGCCAGTTGGCCACCACCACCTGTATATGTGTAAACTATACTTACTAGTTTTTATTATGCTTGAAAGTACAGTTTCCTCTGTAACGATTGCAGCTATTCCAGATATAAGGACCAATGGGAACAGAGACCAAGACTCAGAATGAATTTCCAGTGTTTATTTACAAGTGACAAATGGAGGGAATGGTGACACAGAGGTTAGAGAAGGTGGGCCTGTGATCAGAAGATTGCTGGTTCAACACCTGGCATCGACAATATCAAAATGTGGGTGGGATAGGTGAAGCGCCCACACCTGCCTCCACCCTCATTTGACCCTCTCTGGGGCTTTGAGCAAGGCCCTTAACCCCCACCATCTGCTCCTCTGGGCACCCTAGATAGCAGCTCTCTGCTCCACACAGACACTCGGACAAGCAGCAAAAACCTTCCTCTTTTCTTATACACATTCTAAATTCTCCCACTTGACTACCTTGCACCAAAAACATTAAGGTTTACTTGTTGTTTGGGTTAAAAATCTGGAGATCAAAAATATTATTTTAACAACTTTGTTAGCAAACCATAGCTTTAAGTTTTCTTTAACGAATATTGATCTTATTAAGCTGTTGGTAAGAATCTAAAAAGAGTATATCATTCAACAGATTTAACCAATGTTATTTCTCCTCTCCACTTTTAGCCAAAAAAACTGAGTGACAACCTCGTGCAACAGTTCCTCAACCCAGATCAGACTCCTCCAATCCTTGAAGCAGAGATGTCCCTGCGAGCCGAACAACTGAACAACAATAAACAAATAAGATGCAGCTCGGCCCATTCGGATGGCAGATCCTCATCTCAGTTTTGCAAAATGACTCCTGATCCAGACAGTAAAGAAGAAACCAAACAGGACATGGAGACCCCAAAACAAAGGCAACATCAGGAGACAAGAACAGTAACGAAGAGCAATGAGACAGAGAAGGGTGGGATGGAGGAGAGGCAGGAGCCGGAGGGAAGGCAAGCTGACCCAACCATAACAGAGCAGGAGAGAAAGGAGGTCTGTGTGATATGGACTTATTAAAAGTGACACTTTGATGCATAAAAAGTGTTTTCTTTCAAAAATCTGACCTTATATCATGTTTATAGCCTCAAGACATATAATTATTCACAATTTTCAATTGATTTTTAGACCTATTGAGCTAATTTGCATATTTTTTGTGCATTTTTTAACCTCACCAATACCCTCAAATGTTGCGAGTCTTTGAAAGGATCTGGACTCGGCCCATGTTATCAGAATCAGAATCAGATTTATTGTGATTGCACCAAAGCACAACAAAATTGCATTTCAGTACAGCCCATCCGAGTAAAACCTAAACAACAGACATGGGGAGATGGAATGTCTGAGGCCGTAGCCTCGTGGGAGACGCTGCCATTTTCGTTAGATAGAAAAAGAGAAACGCGGGGAAGGGGAGGTATAAAAATTCATATGACACTGTGTTCTAGACGTGACACAGTGTAAATAGAAACAGCAACATATTGATGACATCATAATACATATATGCAAGGCCGATAAAGGTGGTGAGTTTGTCCATGGACACTGCCAGATTGTCCCCATAGTCCTGATAAGAGCTGGTGCAGTGTCTATCAGCCGACTCAGCTCTGATAGAGGTCCACAGATGTCCTGGGTAAGGGAGCAGGTGGGGGGGGGGGGAGAACTCTTGTTCACATAACATCCAGGAGAGTTTGAGATGGCCAATTCAAGGCCGACACGGGGAGCCAGATTCAGATAAGAGTTATTTGGGTCAGGCTGACTGCTTGATTTCTGTCTACCTTATAGTTCTACTGGTACGTCTCAGTGGCAACTCCAAACAGCCAAATTTTCTGGTCAGCTCTGCTGGGCCAAGCTTGCAGCTTCTCCAAGGTTGATTCCTTCCCACCGGCAAGTTTCAGGAGCAGCAAGTGGTCTGAGTTTCTCAGAAATCAGTTTACAGCTCAGCTCACACGGCATCTGAGTCTGAGTGCTCACTGCATACCATACCAATTTATTTCTAAAGCACTTAAAATACAACAAGCAGCCGTCTGAAGTATTGTACAAAATTAAAAACAAACAAAAAACAGTAAAACAATAAAAACAACTAAATATATATATAAAAAATAATCAGAACATCATAAGTAAAAGAATACAACATTAAGACACAAATGCTGACTCACTCTAGGTTAAAAATCAATTAAAAATAAGTGTTTTTAAATGAGTTTTAAATACAAAAAGTGATGGGGCCTGCCTGACCTCCAGCGGCAGCTCATTCCACAATTTAGGAGCCAGAGCTGAAAATGCTCTGTCTCCTCTGGATTTATAAAAGGTTTTCAGGACTGCTAAAAGCATCTGGTCAGAGGATCTAAGAGCATGTGATGGTATGTAAGAGTGAAGCAGTTCAGACAAATAAGAAGGACTAAGACCGTTCAAAGACTTAAAAACAAACAATAGGACTTTAAAATTAATTTGAAACTGGACAGGAAGCCAGTGAAGGGACATCAGAACTGGAGTGATGTGCTCACGCTTGCCTGTACCAGTCAAAAATCGTGCAGCAGCATTTTGTACCAGCTGTAACTGTGAGAGCGAGGTCTGGCTAACTCCTATCAACAGAGAGTTACAATAATCCAGGCATGAAGTAATAAAAGCGTGGATTACTGTCTCTAAGTGGTGTCTAGAAAGGAGGGGCTTGATTTTTGACAGGCGCCTCAGCTGAAAGAAAGAGGACTTAACCACATTGTTGACATGGCAGTCAAGTTTCAGTGCATGGCACATTCCTTCCCACAAGCCCAGCAGCCCTACTGGCCTAATGGCCAGAACAGCTGCCAATGTTTTCCGTATTTGTTGATATGACAGGTAACCACCAACTCCAAAAAGCAGAAATCCCTTTATCTTAAACCCAATTATGTATGCGTTTTCCACATCCTCAACGGACAATACAGGCAGACACACGATCTTCCACTGTCCCCAGGAATCCATCGTGTATCCAGCTGCAAGTGTCGTGTCAGGGCAAGAGGGCTCTCCTTCACAGTGTCTCTCGTCGAGAAAATTTTATCAATTGCGTTGAGAAACCAGCTGACCAGGTCCATAATTTACAATTCGGAAGATATGTAAAGAGAGGCTCTGGTAGGGTTCACAGGACAAAAAGCAAAGCAGGAGGGAAGCAGGAGCGGGAGGGAAAAGTGTCCGCCTTCATTGAGAGCACGCAGGAAACACTGCACTGCATTGGAATACATTGTTACAAAGTACATTTTTGCAGATACTACAAGAGCGCTGCAGCTCCTTTCACACAGACGGGGCTGTCGGAGTGTTTTCTCTCTGCCCTGTAAAGAAGAGAGTTGGTCCTGAAGCAGGTCGCCTGGTGTCACTGTCAAGAACTAAGGCAGCAGAAAACAAGGTGTTATGTCACATGACTAGAAATGTGCAACGAAAGAAATGTCTTAGAAAATGACATTTAAAAAAAGAGAAGTGTGCATTGATTTTGTCCTCACCAAATTATTGATTATTTTTCCCCTTTAGTAATCATTGTGGTCAAAAGCTGACATGGCAGCCTCCTGATGAATGAACTACCTCAGATTCAGGGCGTGTGTAATTTCTACCTCAGTCATTTTGGCTTTAAAGCTCCTTTAAGTTGAGTTAATTTAATATATTTAGTCTTGTGTGAAAACAAAGGCATCTTATTTTGTTGAGGCATTAAAAGTCGTTAATTTCTTAAACTACCGTGCACATCTAAGCTTCACTGTCAAACATCAGTGTAGGTTCTGAAGCAAATAAATGTTACTGAACAGTGCCATTTTTAAAAGTTGCAATCATTTTTTTAAAGAAAACAAATTTCCTTATTGCTAGTCATTACGGACTTCTGATGTTTTCTACAAATGAGAGTTAGACCTCTTTAACAAATCGTTTGAGAACTCTTGGCCTCTGAAACATTTACCAGTACATCTTGTCTTAGCGTTTTGCTTGTTTTCTTTTGTCTTGTAGGTGAGGGATGTGTGGTATGAAGCTGGAACTGTTTGGTACAAACACAAGGATGGTTTCGCCCGCGGTGAGCTGTGAAACAACATGACACAAACACACTGTGCTGAATTACAGAAAATACTGGAGCCCATTTAACACCATGCCTGGCATGAATCATAGTCAAACATGAACGGACACACTGCAATTTACATGCACTAAAGCCACAGATAAATTAAACAAATATAATTTTTTTAAATGTTTTATTTAATATAGATGTCTCAAAGTAGGCCAAGGCTAGGATATCCTGGATACATAGAGGTGTTTCAGCTACTACAGTTTGATGGGGAAATACATTTTCTTTACTTTAAAAGTTTCAGAATAGTAATTTACGCTTGTTGTTTTCTCACATCAGAGCAAATTCAATTAAACTGCAACAGTTTTTTTTTCATTCAACCTTCAGTCAGTTAGTTAGTCCCATTGAGCCACAAAGACTCATTTACACCAGAGATGAGAAAAGCAATTTCAGATGATAGGTTGATTATAGGGACTTTCACATTCCTGTCGATGCAAACGGACTCAAACACAAACACTGAGTGTGTTTCTGTTGTATGATCTGTGAATGTATTCATGAGAAAATGACTGTTAACTAGAAAAACCTAATATATCAGTGATATATACCAATAGTGGTGGCACAGAGGTTAGAGAAGGTGGGCCTGTGATCGGAAGGTCGTTGGTTTGACCCTCCGGTCTGACAACATCAAAATGTGGGCGAGAAAGGTGAAACACCCACACCTGCCTTCTGGGCCCTTAACCCCCACCATCTGCTCCCCTGGGCATCCTAGCTAGCAGCTCTCTGCTCCACACAGAGGGCTATGGTAGCTCGGTGGTCTGTGGTTGTGTCAGGAAGGACATCCGGTGTAAAAACAACTGCCAAGTCTTCGTGCGACTCAGTTCACTTTGGTGACCCCTGAAGAAGAGAACAGCCAAAAGAAGAAGAAATAATTCTAATGATCTATTGTTGTTGACAAAATGTGACATGAAATGTTTACAAACTTAAAATATTGTTTTAAATTACTCTTGCACAGCAGAAAACAGAAGCAGCCATTTGTACATTTTAAAAATACTTTTAATTTGAAATTAAAATACCCAAACTCAGTAAAGTCATGTTTTTGAATCACTGCAGCTTTTCCTTGTGAACATGGGAACAGACCGTCACCACTTGTTGGATTAGTAGAGTTGTCTATTAATCCACACATAGTCTGTAGTAATCTAGCCTGTTGCATTGATTACATATCATGTTTCCCACCAGCTCCAGCTGCTCGTTTTAGTCACTTAAGATCTTCATGTCTAGCTGCCCATATTTTTATTTTACTGCATTAGTTCTGTTAGACCCTGACATACCCACAGAACCTCTAACCCCGACACAGGGATCATTAGCTGAAACTCATTTCCATGTGCTGTGAGCTCCACTCTTCTTTTCAGCCACTCAGCTGAAGCCAGATGAAGGTACCCCTGAACTCCCAGAGGGCCGAGTCAGGATTCGCCTGGAGACAGATGGTACACTGCACGATGCCATGGAGTATGAGGTTGAAAAGGTAAAGTCCTTCTTTGCGTTAGCACAAACAAAGAGTCATGACGTAAAGAATGTTAACCCTCTCAATTCAATGTCAAATAACAGCAATGATCCGGTTCTGAACTTATTCAACATCAAGTACAAGTATAGAGAACAAATGCCAACATATCGTTATTTATTAAACAAAATGTGGCCAAATGAAAAAGCAGCACAAACTAGCGGTACACTGGTGTTCCCCTTTGCTGAGGGATTTGGATCATGAATGTCTCAGTCTGAGATGCATGTTTTATTTGGACTGGAAATTGAACAGGGAATATAAGTAAACCTTTATGTCTTTGGTGTGGTATTAATGTGTGTATTACACTGTGAATTAAAAGAGAGATAGTTTTTTTTATTGTTTTTATTTTTGGCTCATCTGAGGCAGCACAGAGTGATGGATCTGGTGAGGAGGGAGCAATTTTATCCACAACCAGGCGCAATGGTGGAGCCAGGGGATGGCCAATGGTGGCCTTGACTATAAAAACTAGTGATCATAGTTCCATCAAATGATTGGGACGGTCTGTTTACAAATGATTTATAGTCCATATGATGGTGACATCTTGGATTTTGACATTGTAAATCTTTTTTCAATATAGACTTTTCTTACACCAAAATGCAGCCACACACCACAAAGGAAGTTGTTTATTTTTGAAGTTATCTGGCTCACAAGATGGATGAACATTTATGGAGGCAGCCATCTTGGATTTTGACCTGACATGCCAGTTTTAAAAAGGGGACCTTCCTTGCGTCCAGATGCAGCCACACACTAAAATGGAAGTTGGTACCTCACTTATTTTTCAAGTTATCATGCTCCCAACATGCACAAACGCACTCAGGCTATATTTCAGATGCCCCCTTTATTCCACGACGTTCAGTAATTGTGGTTATTCATTTTATTCATAGTGCTCTGGTGGATAAATACATTTGCATACACCACTGTTCAGTTCTGTTGTTTAAAAACTTAATTGTTACAAGGTTTTCTGCCCATTTCATTCAAATAAATTGACAAGTTTGTAGAAAAATGACCAATGATCAAAATTAAAAATATTAAATCAGGTTTTAAAGCAACAGAAAGATTACCAATGTACAATCTTGTGAATTGTTGAATAGTTAAGGATGTGTCTAGATTAAATAAAATTATCTGTATATCTTCTAAGCCAAAGGTTCCACATATTTTAGCTTCTGACAATCAAAATGGTATGGTATGGTATAAAATTTATTCATTTTAAAAATACAAAACAGTTTCATAACTATATTAAATGGACTGTAAATGGACTGTACTTACATAGCGCCTTTCTATCTTATTTCAAGATACTCAAAGCGCTTTACTCTACAATCTGTGTCCTCATTTACCCATCCACACAGCACTCTACTAGATCTCTACAAAGCTAATTGAACAAATCCATCCATCCATCCATTATCTTTACCCGCTTATTCCATTTTGGGTCACGGGGGTCGCTGGTGCCCATGTCCAGCAATCACTGTGCGAGAGGCGGGGTACACCCTGGACGGGTCGCAAGTCCATCACAGGGCCACATAGAGACAAACGAGACAAACAACCATTCACTCTCTCACTCACACCTAGGGACAATTTAGAGTTACCAATCAGCCTAACATGCATGTTTTTGGTCTGTGGGAGGAAACCGGAGCACCCAGAGAAAACCCACGCATGCACGGAGAGAACATGCAAACTCCACCCAGAAAGGCCCCTGGACTGGGGTTTGAACCAAGGACCTGCTCGCTGAGAGGCAGCAGCTCTACCAGTTGCGCCACCGTGCTGCCCAATTGAACAAATCATTCATTAAAAAAAACCAAGAGATTTAAAATGAAAGGCAGCAGAAAGAAGAAAAATCTTATTATGTCTGCCCCTTTTTTTCAAACAATTAGTTCAATCATAATAATCTTCAAGTGACAGAACAAAATGAATAACTCTTTCAATTTTTTCTAGTTCTGTTACAAAAACACACTAAGCTACTTCATATATATTTTTTTTAACAATTCAGCTTTGATCTTTTTCTTAAATGTACACATTGACTTGACATTTTTAACATCACTCTCTAGACCATTCAACAATCCAATTCCTTGGATTGAGGTAGACCTTCCCTTCAGAAATAAAAGGTGAAAAATAAAAGGTGCAGAGTCATGTGACCCCAACTATTGCTGGTTGAACTACACAAAAGCTACAAATAATATATTTATCAAAGAACCTTGTCAGAAACATTTTATTTTTAAATCTATTTACGATTGGTGCTGGCATCTCTTTGTAACAGTTAAGTATAGATTTTATATTTAAGTGAGGATTCACCCGACCTTCCATGTGTCCCAGGTGAAGCCCGTTTCCCTCAGTCCCTTGTGTCCCCCTTCTGACCTCCCTCCGCCGCCCCGCCTGATTGACAACCACCCTGCGTTCACTGTCCGATCCATCCTGGACGTGCGATGCAGGGGTAGCGGTTTCCAGTACCTGGTCGATTGGGAGGGGTACGGTCCTGAGGAGAGGTCATGGATCCCCAGGTCTTTCATCCTCGACCCCAGCCTCATCTCCAGGTTTTTCAGAGACCACCCCGAGAAGCGCCTCAGGTCGCCTGGAGGCGATTCTTGAGGGGGGGGGGGTACTGTAAGGGTCCCACTGCCTGCAGCCTGCCTTGCTGATGGCCGCTGATTACCAACACCTGGTGTCCATCAGCCTGATGAGCCTCTCCATCTACAAAAGGCTGCAGCCCAGTGTGACTCATCGCTGGAGCATATCACCTCTCATGGTATAGTACTGTTGAGCCAGATATGTCTAGGTGAAAAGAATTTGTTCACCTGTGTTCTCTTTTCCAGTTTCCTGGTTCCTCGAGTTTTTGGATTCTCCTCGTGACCTGATCTGGATCCCTCGGCCTATCAGGTATTCCTCGTGCCATTTTTGCCTCCAGTTGCCAGCCTTCCTTGTTCCCTTGGACACTCGTTGGATTCCCCTCTGCTGCTCTCTCCCTGGACTGAAGGACCAGCTCCCCTCCTTCGGGTTTGGACTGTAAGGACAAGAACCTCCTTCAAACAACCACTCAGGTCTTCCCCTTGGACCAACACTAACCTGTCATCCCCCTTTCCAGGAGTGCTGAGTTCCAGCGTGTGAACATTCACTGTACATAATAAACACTGTTCTTTTGTATTTCCCGTGTCTGCCTCGTTCTGGGTCTCATACTATCTGGGTTCCCCGCGTAATCCTAACAGAAATGCTCCAGCCAAAAAAGACCCAGAATGAGACCAAAGAGCGAGCAGACAACCCCCGGTTCCCTGGAGGAACGGATCGATGGGTTGGACAAGGTTCTACATCAAGGGCTGACTCACCAAACCACAGTCCAGTCCAACCTTCAGGAGCTCGGAGGTATGATTTATTCCATTAAACATCAACTGCAAGCTTCTGCCTCCTCAGCTCCAGTCATTCCACCAGCCCCCGTGGCTCCTGGTCCCACTCCTCCTGTTCAACAAATATTCATTAAACCGTCTGAGTTCTTCACCGGAGACCCTGACCAATGTGGTGGCTTCTTGCTGCAGTGCAGACTCGCCTTCGAGGGGGCTCCCTCCCAGTTCTCCTCGGACGCGGCCAAGATCACCTTTTTCGTAAGCCAGCTCAAAGGTAACGCTCTCCGGTGGGCTCACTCGTTTCTTCTGAGCCATGATAATCCCCCTGCTACCTATGAACTATTTCTACATGTGCATCAGGATATTTCTACGTGAGTTTCGTAGGATTTTTGATCGCCCCCTGCAGACGTCAAACGCCGCCAAGCGTTTGTGGAATTTACGACAGAGCTGTCGTAACGCCTTGGAGTTCGCCCTGGTGTTTCGGATCCTTGCTGCCCAAACAGGATGGGACGAGCCAGCCCTCCAAGGTATTTTCTTAAACTCCTTAAACCCTGATTTTCTCAAAGACCAGATGGCCACGCGAGACGAGCCCGAGACTTTCGACAAGTTAATAGACCTTGCCATCTCCATCGATGACCGTTTCCAGGAAAGGAGGAGAGAGGCAAACTACAATTCCCATCGACCCTCGACTTCCGGGTTTCCGACTTCTCCAGGTGAGCCCAAGTCTGCACCTTTGTACTACGTTTCCCAGAATTCTCCCACTTCCGGGTTCACGACCCCTCGCCATGAGTCCGCTTCACCCAAGTAGTCCTCCTTGAACTACAACTCCCAGTCTTCCATGCTTCCTGGTTTCAACCAATCATCTTCTTTTCCTCCACGGGATCGCTCCCCCGAGCCTATGCAGGTGGGGCGTGCACGGCTGACTCCTGCAGAGAGACAGCGGCGTGTATCCGCCCGTCTCTGCATTTATTGTGGTAACCCCGGTCATTTTCTGCCCCACTGTCCGTTTCGGGGAAATGAGAACTTCCACCAGTAAAGCGAGAGTTACTGGTGGGAACGTCTGCGTTAACCTCCAAATTCAAACTATTACTTCCCATGGTCATTCAGACACCTGACCATCACTTTTCGTTTTCTGCTCTCATCGACTCGGGTGCTGAACAAAACCTGATCAGCGCCGATTTAGTTAAAGAGCATTCTTTGCCCACTCGCGAGATTCCTCCGATTTCTGTCGCCGGCTTAACCGGAGACACTTTGACTCGTATAAACCTTAAGACTACCGATTTGCATGTCATAATCTCAGGAAATCATCACGAAATGACCGATTTCTTCGTGTTTAATTCCCGTACGCCCCAAATAATTTTAGGTTTCCCCTGGCTCCGAAACCATAACCCAGTTATTAATTGGGAGCGCGGCTGCATTGACAAATGGAGTGACAAATGTCTCAGTAACTGTCTTCGCTCCGCCATTAAAGAGTTCCCTCGGAACGCGCCTCCTCTAGAGGAGATCGACCTCACCTCTGTTCCTGCTGAATACCGCGACCTGGCGGCCGTCTTTAGCAAGCAACGCGCCTTGTCTCTTCCTCCTCATCGTCCCTATGACTGCTCGATTGACTTATTACCTGGCGCCCCCTTGCCGTCA